TCTTTGAACTTTCAAATCATGATTTTAGCAATAAAAAATTTTTGGGACATTAGACTTGTAAATTTGGAGTAGAATTGTGATAATTTACTGGAAATTTCAGGACGTTATTAACAGATGCTGGTATCTTGCTACATGGAAATTGTAATAGTTTGCCCATGACTAAATAAAAATTGTTTTACTGTCAGTTGCTTTCTACTTTTACATGATAGAGTATATGCAAAAGGATGAAAAAGGTCAATGTTTCAGTTGACACAAGAAGGAAACCATAGAGAAATCAGTTGGAAATTTTCCCAGTACAGGATGCTGCCCTTAGCACTAACACTTGTCATAAAAAAAACAAATCCTACATAAAAATTTCCAGAATAAAAATTAAGCATCCCTATTCTTGGTTCTGATTTATATAATACTGTATTCTACACATTTATGACTTTTGGAAACAAATGTTCAGCGTGAAATCTTTTCTGTGACTGCATCAGTGTCTGAAAACAGCTAAAACCAAAAAATGTCATCTGGACAATGATATTGGGAAATCTAATTAGCATTAAATTAGGCTGAGATTATATATCATAAGCAATTAGAATAGGGCTTTGAAAAGTACTGTCTCTCTCTGATGCTTTCAAACCTTTCAGTGTCAATATTCCAATAAAAATGATATTTACCCCCACAGGTTTCATAAAGAATGAATTTTTGATTACTCAGTCTGGTTGATCAGGCTAACTTTATTAGAGTTGTTTGTTTTTTTTTTTTTTACTTTCCAAACTTCAGCCATTTATTTCCCCCGCTCTCCCTCTCTAAGAAGTTTAACAAACACTGCATTTACTCCCCCGCCCTGCAAATGGCAAAAGAAAGTTACCTTTTATTTATGAGTGATCATTTTTCCTGTCTATATTTTGACAAATAACATGGCAGAAAATGATTAAGGGTCTCATTTTGCAATGTGACTTGTATGTTATTTATTGTTAAAATAAAAGTCACTTTGTGGATTGAAGTTTTTAATCATTTTTCCACTCTGTCAGGAAATAGTTTTGTCAAAAAGTGATGATATTTGACAGTGCTGTTTTTTAATGACAGGTACAATCCTGATAAGGAGTTTATCAGTAATTATTTCACTGTAGTATAATTATATGGATAAACTATTATCTTGTTATTTTCCATTTAAATGATCTTCCTTTTTCCCATGTTATTAATAGGAAGATTACAGTGCCCTGAATAGCTCCCACATAAAATAAGGGATACACAAACATTTTTGAAAATACTTTCCCTGTCTTCTCTCAGAAACATATTTCATCCAATCTTCAACTCAATTTTGCAGCAAACATAATGAATACTCTAATTTCTTTGTCAATCAGATTGTTAAGCATCTTTGTTTCCCAACTTCTCCTTGGAAATCAACTGCTCCTATTCCAGTTTTGCATATGCAAGAGAATTACACTTTTTCCATCCCCATGTTTACATCCCACCTAGCTTCAGCCACTTTCCGGGAAGTTTAAATTAAACTTTATCAGTCTCTCCCAGTATTAAATAAAGACAGACAAGGACTTCCAGAAGATGACTCAGGTCCAGTTAAGTCAGCTCCAGTTGCTCATTAAATTGCACAGATGACAGGGAAAAAAGAAAACAAAAACAAAATTATAAAAAAAAAGAAGAGAAAAAAAAAAAAAAGAACAGCTCTTTAATAAATGTACTGAATGCTCAAACTCAGATTTAAGTTTATAACTTTTTTGTGATGCACCTACATGTGTTCCTCAGAGTGTTTCGTGTATGCCAGACAAATCCACAAATGCCCATTAACTCATCACAGCTCTGTGAGGAGCACTAGGGAAGTGCTGTGGTCGGGTTATAGCTAAAGCAAATGATGCCTAATAGGTCAGCAACATAATGAGAGGTCAAGGAAAAGGATCTCAGCCTTATCCAGGTATTTTTAAGCCACCTGTCTGGCAATACTGAAAGAAGATTTGGAATTAAATGAAGGGAAAAGTGTTCTGCTATGTCAGGACTGTGAGGTGGTGGTGGATGAAAACTGGACACAGCCTGGCAGTGTGCATCTGCATCCCAGAAAGACAACTGTGTCCAAAAGAAGTGTCACCAGCAGGTCAAGGGAGGGGATTGTGCCTGGTGAAAAACTGCATCCAGCTCTGGGGACCCCAATAGGAAGGATGTGGACCTGTTGAAAGAGTCCAGAGGAGTCCACAGACATGCCCAGAGGACTGGGGTACCCCTGCTCTGGAGACATGCTGAGAGAGCTGGGGGTGTTCAGCCCAGAGGAAAGAAGGATTTTAGGAAGACAAAGTCCTTCCCAGTCCAAAGAGATTAAAAGAGAGCTGGAGAGAATCTTTTGACAAGGGCATGGAGTGATAGGACAATCAGAAGTAGCTTTAGATTGAAAGAGGCTAGCTTTAAATTAGAGACGAAGAAAAAATTCTTTCCTGTGAGGGTGGGGAGGCCCTGGCACAGGCTGCCCAGAGAAGCTGTGGCTGCCCATCCCTGGAAGTGTTCAAGGCCAGGCTGGACAGGGCTCTGAGAAGCCTGGGGTAGTGGAAGTTGTCCCTGCCCATGGCAGGGGGTTGGAGCTAGGCAGCAACAGGGGGAGGGACTTTATTACCCTTCCCAAGCTAAATCATTTTATCATATTATTTAATACTTAACATCAATGGATTTTAATGCAAATCACTGTGGAAGGAAACCATGTGAGAACTGATAGCATTTTCTTGTTGTTCATGAAGCATCATGGTCAGATACCCCACTATCACAGGTGGAGTGATGCACTTCACCAGTTAGAAGAAAAGCAACAACATACTTTATTGAAATAAAAGAGTGAATTAAGAAAGTTGGGTAGCAAATGTGACAGGGATTTAATGAGATCCAATGTCAAGATACACTTGATTACTGCACAGAGAACAGGATTACACAGAATTATCAGGGAGACTCTCCCACTGAGCCTCGAGCTTCAGGAGGGATCCCTTTGTGTTCTAAACTCCTTCTCTGACAGGAGTCTGGGGATATCTGGATCCACTCCTAGCCCCAGACTTGGTCAGTGGCTCAGACCTAAAGAATGTGTCTGCACAATCAATTCTTTGCATTCCTTTGCTAAGATTTCAAAGTTTATCAGGCTGTTAATGACTTCCAAGGATCTGTTGCTGCAAGGAGTCTCTCAGACTTGAGGAATAACCTTGAGACATCCCTGCTAAAGGGGATATCCTGGCATGCAGCCCGTCTCTGTGCAGGAGAGCCAAACAGGCCCCGGGCTGTCCACTATTTATGGACTAAAATGATGGACTTACTGTCATATTTGCATACCAGCAACATGTCTGGGTCACCCTTCCAGACAGTCCTTGGCTACCCCATTGCCATCCATCCCCCAAAGCCCAGAGTGAGATGCCAGTCGTATTAACACAGCAAAACAGTTACTGTCAGACTGGTGCAAGAGCCACACTGGCATCGGCTCTGTCAAAGCTCTGCTTCTAATTTATCATTTAATTTAAACACTAGAATGCAAAAAGAACAGTTCTTAACCAGGGGTACAAATATTTTGATAGCATATCACTTCATTGGGCATGGCCTGCCTGACTAAATATCCTTTCCTCACAGACGAGGAGAGGCTGATTCAGTGGGAACAATTAAGAAAAGTGAATTCTTGATGGGCTGAAACAAAAAGTTGAGCTGCTCTTCTTATGTTACACATACAAGTTGTTACCACAGGAGAATGGCCCCTAACCCTGCAAAAAGCCATGGACAGCTTGTTTTGACAGGAATCATGAGGATCAGCAGCAGCTGGTGATTTAGCTTAAAGAATTGTCCCAGCATCTACATTTGATTTCTCATCTTTATCTCCTATCTTTCAGACTCCCATCTGAGCTTGTTTTCAGACAGGACTTAAAAATAGAAAATAAATGGCACAGTAGCCACAAGGGGAGGACTCAGAGCCTTTGATTGCCAGGTAAGTTTAACTGTAATAATCACAATTAAACTCCTTTAAATTTGCTGCACTTCTTTTTTTTTTTTTTTTTTTTTTTCCCAGTCATGGAGATAACTGTCTCAACTGAGGGAAAAAACATGAGATGAGGTGGTTTAAAAATATCATTTTGCTAGTGTTTCTAATCAGGAAAATTGTTTTGATTATTCAGAGTGGGCTGGTTCCACATTGCATCTTTTGCACTAATTATTTCTGGCTGGTCACTAGTCTGACTTTATCTTGTCTTATCGTGTCTTATATTATTTTAACATTCAATCTACAGTAGCTACAGACATAATTTTCCTGCTCAGTGCTGGACAATTCTTACTTGCTTCAGCCCGTGATCATGTCAGCCTCGAGAGGAAAGAGGTACATGTGTAGGTCACAGAGATCAGAAAGGAAAGAATTTAGGCAGTAAAACCCTGATGTGAAACATCTAAGGAGGGACAATTTAAAATTGCCATGCGGGACTCGGAACGCGAGCGTGTTAACTAGCAGCTCACAGGCTTTGCCTATTCCTCTGTTCCTGCTTCAGTTTGACAGGATTGGCACAAGGAAGCTCTCAAAACTGTCAAACTAGCACATTTGATGAGTCCAGGTTCTTTTCAACCCCTATGGCAATGTCCTTTTATTCATGCAGTAAAAGCTTGTTACCTGGTCACAAACATAGTCCTGCTTCAAAGCTCCCTGCTCTCTTTCCACTGCTGATTTCTGTATTTTCCCAGTTATTCAGCATCAAACCCAGAAAGACCTGGACTACTGGATTCCCAAGGCTTTTTTTTTTTTTTTTTCTTCCCCTTGTTTTCTTCCCACCCAAGCTCCCAAGCTTAGCCTTTTCCGTTTGCCTTTCATTTTGGTGACAACCAAAGCAAAAGTGGTGAGTTTGTTTTGCTAGATTTAAGACACAGCAAACAATTCAAATAAGGAGTTGAAGAACCAAGAATGGGGATGCTTAATTTTTATTCTGGAAATTTATATGTAGGATTTGCTTTTTTTATGACAAGTGCTAGTACTAAGGACAGCATCCTGTACGGGGAACATTTTCCAATTGATTTCTGTATGGTCTCCTTCTTGTGTCAACTGAAACATTGACCTTTTGCACAGCTGAAGATTCTCTCCATGTGCCTGTGAAACTCAAATCATGTTGATTAAATAAAACACATGATCATCTCAGCAAGACAGTACATAATGAAGCACAGCACCAACCAGGTAAGATAACGCACAGAAGCACAGACCATGACAGAACATCACAGATACGACCACCTCTGTAAGACATCTTCACACACACCACAGGACATGACAAAATGTACATTTACATGACTTGAACTGAAACTGTGATGTGTGCCAGTGTGGACATGGTGTCATGGCCATCCAATCCTATGCAATTTGCTCTGATCAGATGTTTTGCATTTCTGTTTGTCCCTGAGCTACAGAGGTGTGCATGGAGAAAGTTCTTGGGCTGCTGCAATAAGTATGCAGAGACTACAACAAAGTATGCAGAAGGAGACAGGAAATAATTTATGTGGCAGCAAATTAGATTTGTCTGTGATGAAATCGGTCCACTATATTTGCTGCAGTGTCTCTAACCAGCAGCTCTCTGTTGTGTCCCTGTGCATGACAGAGGATGATATTCCATTTGAAGAATATTTGGCTCATTTAAGCTGGAAAGACATTGCAAGGAGTTGCAAAGTGAAAAGACAGAAAACAGGTTTGGCAGATTTTTTTTTTTTATTTTTTTATTTTTCTTTTAAAATATTTTTTTCTGTTTTACTCTGAGTTGCTTTCCCTTCACTCAGGTATTTGAGGTACTGGTGCTATGTCATAGTTAAGTCTATAATCTCAGATTTTGGGCAAAATTGATTGGGAGGAAACTTCAAACACTGGTGATGAGTTGTGCAAGGTCTTATGAACAAGCCTGTACCAGAAGGAAAATATGGTCTGTGGAGAGCACAACTAAATTGTTAAATTTCCTTTTGTTTTCAGGGATCTCAACCTGGCTACACTGCTGCTGCCCATATGAGATATATAAGGATCGTATTTCTCCTTTGAGTTTCCAACTTATTTTTCCCCTCATTACCCATACCTTTTCTTATATTCAAAAGATAAGATAGGATTTTGTGCAGAATGCTTGCTTTTAACAAGAAATATTACCATCTCTGATTTTGTTTCCAGCTACGTTCAGTTTCTTCACTTGTATGAGATTTCCTACTGCATAGAATAATGGAATCACCAAGACTGTAAAACACCTGCAAGGTAATTGAGTTCTACTGTTAATCCAGCATCACTGTGTCCATCACTAAAATATATTCCCAAATGCCACCTTCACACGCCTTTTGAACACATACAGGGATGGTAATTTCAACATTTCCCTGGGCATCCTGTTTCAATTCCTGACCAGGTTCCATGGTAGGAAACAGAAAACCAGAGCTTTTTCAGGTAAATACTGACCCTGAAAGCAGCCCATGACCCTTCCAGAGCCATTTATAGTCTGAAAGACCAGGTACATTTCTCTTTTTTAGCTCTGTACAACCACCTGGAAGAAGGTTGTGAGGTGGATAACAGGAGGTAGGATAAAAGGAAATGGCTTCAGGTTGCACCAGAGGGAGGTTTAAATTGCATATAAGAAAAAATTCCTTCACTGAAGGAATTGTCAAGGAACAATGGAACTGACTGTCGTGCCAGTGGTGAAGTCACCTCCCTGGAGGTAACTAATATATGTAGATGTGCTGCCTGGGGACATGGTTTGTAGAGTTTTGTTGGTTATTGTTGGTTATTGTTTGTAGGTTATTGTTGGACTTGATGACTGTAAGGGTTTTTTATGATGTTAATGATTCCATGATTCAATTTAAAAAATAAATAAAAGACAAAACAATATTTTGTGAGGGTTTTTTAATGATTTAGGAGTTATACTGGAAATCCTTGAATATGCAAGGTCCCTTTCCATTCATTTGTGTGTGATCTTCTCACTTCTCAGTCATGCAGAGAAGTCATGAAGCACCAAATAGTATCAGAGGAGGAGGTACTGGAAAAGCCTTCACACTAGCCATGCCAGGCAAGAAAGTGTGGAGAAACCAAGAAATACTGGTTTGAAGCACTGACGTTTAAATGTTATTCCATTCTTGAGCAAAGCACTGTAACTTTCACTGGATGACAGTCACAACAGAGATACGGTACATAAATCAAAATTCAAACAGTTTCTGAGCAATCACACGTGTGACATACCTGCTGGAGGTGACTAAGCTACATGGAGAGTGATGGTAGGCACCTGCTTGTCTGAGGACAGTAGAAAGGAAACTGCCTTTCATTAGGCCAAGATTTGCAGGAGTTAAGTGCTGATTTTCAGAGCATGACTATAATTCAGCTTCAAATAATGTGATAAGACAGTCAAAGGCAGAAAACTCTGCTAAACTCTCTGACAAGGGAACAGAAAATCCTCCACAGTTATAGAGACTCTAAGGACTTAGTCTCTCATTTGTAATTTACTTCTTCCCTATAAACCCAGTCTGACCTTGTCTGTACAGTATTGTCCAGACCTTTCATTTGTCATATGGTATATGGCTTGGTAGTATAGCTGGTGTCTCAATGTCACTGAGTGTCTGGGGCTTGGGATTTTTTCCTCCACTTTATGACTTCAATGGTAAAGGTAAAGCAGCAAGAATGTGGATGTCAAAAAATGCCTGTATGTCTTTGCAAGAGAATTAAAGCTTGGGAAAGCACAGTTAAAATTTCCCAGCTGAAGTAAGAAAAAACCCCAAAACTTTAAGGTCAAGGGGATAAAATTTTTTTCCCTACTTTTCTAGTGATCAGATACTTTTTTTTTTTTTTTAATTGCAATTTAGTTTAAAAGCAAATTAATCACAGAAAAAAAATGGTTTGGATTTTGTTGTTGTGGATTTTGTCTTGTTTTTAATTACAGAGATCACTAAGAGTATTAGGGTTGTTTGGTTTTATTTTGTTTGTTTTTAAAGCGATTAAATGCAACTGAAGACAAGAATTTAAATATGAATTCAAAACTAGAAAAATATCTGCAAAGAAAACTGATGTAAAGTACACCAAAATTGGATTGTTCAGATTGTTTTGTGCTGAGAAACAAATTCATTCCCTGTAACACTGTCATCTCAGTGAGGTATCACAATTTAGCTGTGCTGTAGTGACAAGTTCACCTATTTTACCAATGCACAGTATTGGAACATTTATTAGCCATGGACTAAGAAAGCTGAAGGTTTCCAAGTTTTCTATCAAAATCACAGAAACTCATTGCACAGCTTATTTTTTTCCTGGCCTTGAAGTTCAGAATCAGAAATTCTTTTACTAGGACACTGAATTTGATACTGCTCAAGAAGATATTTTAAAGATATATTTCTTCATGTTTACTCCTGGTGTGCAAACACATGCTTGTACAGTGTGTAAGACATTGTGTATATTGATTTCTACAATATGTCATCTGAACTGATGTTGTGATGAAAACCTACCGGAAGCTACAGTGACCAACTTTTTAAATTAAAGTACAACATCTAGATGAAACATTCTGCCTTTCAGAATCCTTTCTTTGTGGGAATGGAATGAAATTATCTCTACATTTTTTAAAGAGCAAGGTTTTCTGAAGATAAAGTAAGCTTGTGCTAATGGCTGATTTTAAATTTGTGAGGTCTTCTTCTTGGATCTGGAGTTATTAAAAAATGAAGAAAACTCAAAATCTGTGAAACTCCTCACCTAACTGCAAAAGAACTGGGGAAAGAACCAGAAGGGTAAAACTGACAGAGCACATGGATTGAGTTAGAGGCATTTTAACAGGTAAAGCAAAAGTTGTGCATGTTGTCAAAGCAAAACAAGGAATCAATTCACCGTATCCATGGGCAGGCGGGTGTTCAGCCATCTCCAGCAGAGCAGGGCCCCATCATGTGGAAAGGCAGCTTGGGAAGTCAAACCCCAAACATGTTCCTTTCCTCCTTCCTTCCCCCACTGAGCATGATGTCCCATGGTCTGGAACGTCCCTTTGGTCACCTGGGGTCATCACCTGTCCTGGCTGTGTCTCCTCCCAGCCTCCCAATCACCCCCATCCCCTCCCCAGCCTGGCAGTGCAGGAAGCAGCAAAGGCTCTGGCTCTGTGCAAGCCCTGCTCAGCAAGAACAAAAACATCTCTGTGTTATCAACCAGCACAAACCCAAAACACAGCCCCACACCAGCCACTGGGAAGAAAACTACCTCTGCCTCAGCCCAAAGTGAGCACAACGTGACATCCCAGCGCTAACAAACTTACTCTCCTTATCTGGACAATTCTCTGGCTGCAAGTCAGATCTTGAATTCCCCAGGAGGCCATTCTTCTCTGTCTCTTTTCTGTGCATATCCTTGAACTGATCAGCCACATCAGCAGCGTTAGGTATGAAATAAGAAGCCTGACCTTTGGAATTGGCTCTCCTGACTGATCAGCTCAGCACTGATGTGCCTGGCACATTTTGACAGCACTGGGAGTTGCGTATGGGAATTGCACATGTCTAGATGGGAAAATATTTTAGAGAGAGGAAAATTCTATAGAGAGGGGCATGGCGGAGGGAGAATTTCTCTGAACAGAGAGATGCAGTTTAGCTGGTTATTTTCTGGCCAGTCTTCAGTGTATAAAATCAGGTTATCTTCAATATTGAATTGCCTATGCATCCAATGAGATCACAGTCAAGCAGAAGAATGTCCTACAGACATGAAAAAAAATTAGGATGTAATATATACTGAGCAGCACTGAAGACCAGAAATGTTAGTAAATGGTCAACTGTCCCAGTCCCTCTGAAGGCAGGAACTGAGGCTGTGTAAAAAATTCTTACTAAAAAGATAATTTCTTTTTGATAAGGGTTTGTGTTTGTTGCAAAGATTTAATTGAGTACAAATTACATTTCCTGAGTTGTTCTGTTTCATGTACATTTATGCTTTAATGTACAGAGGCATTTCTGCATTTTGTCATGGTTTCTTCCCAGACCAACACTGAGGGACTGACAGCAGCAGAAAAATCTGTTTTTCATAGGCTCTGCCATCTTTGATGAGTACATGTGACAAGTGTCTGAGCTTTAAAGAAGAGTCTGGGGCCACCAGAAAACAAATATAACACATGATGGATCAGAAATTCAAAACCTGTGGGTAGTTATTCACACTAGCTCCCATGGACCTCCTCACAGCCTGTGAGTTCTGGGGACCTGGCCCCGGCACACATTCATATTCTCTGAATGACCTGAGAGGACAGTTGACTTTTTAGCTGCAGTTGGAAACAACCCAGCATATCTTTCACAAAGGGGAGACTGCCCAGAGCTCACACAATGTTCTTCCCATACACATGTTTTTTGTTTTATTTTGTTTTAGGTTTTTTTTGTTTTTTTACAAACATGTCTAACTCATATTCTCCAAGATTATCTGGACACCTGTGGGAGACCAAACAAGGTCTGAGAGGTGGAATAATATATTCTCAAGCATCAAAGGCCCCACATGCCTTTTGTCATGGGCTGCTTTTTCTCTGTTAGAAGCACAGAGCTGCATCCCATTTTATTACGGATGACAGCGCTTCCTTTCCCTGGCTGTGCTTTGCTGTCCAGTGGATGCAAAACCCCAGGGTACATCCACACTCTCTAAACAGCGCAAATCATTAGCTTTGGGAATTCTGAAAATGACAGAAAATGGCAGGAACACTGGGGTCACCTCCCAGGCTAGGAGAATGCTGCACCATTTCTGTCAGCACCCACTGTCCCACGAGAGCAGTGGGGAGCTGCATCACCTGGACAAGGCCCCCAGCACGGGGCTGAGCAGCAGCAGGTCCAGCAGAAGTGGTGATGACTTGCACATTGGTAGAGTTTGCTGTGAAATGACATTACCACCACTTTGATGAGGAAAAGGCTTTTGCTTAAGTAATGACATCAGTCTTAAATAGATCTGACAATAATACATGCCTTTGGAGGGGTTTAAATAGCTTTCCATGGGAAGCTGGGATCAGCAGTCTGATGTAAAGTGAATTTCCCAGCTCGGCAGCAGAACTAGGAGCAGAGTTAAAGTCCTCTGAATTACTGTGCATCTTTCTCTGGGCAATACTGGTGTGTCCCTCTCTAAAGTGTCGCACTCCTTCACCTTGATCTATGTGTGATCATACCCCTAAAACAAAGAAAAGCCATGTGACAAATGCTTGTGGGAAGAGATTGTTCAAATGCTTTCAGCACATACTGGCATGGTTTATTACCATATGTATCCTGCTTGTTAGACAGCTAAGAAGGACTTTCTTGCAGTTAAAGTATGAGACACAGATAAAGCCAGATTAAAATTGCACCTCTGCTACCAATCTCCTTTCTGATGCTGGGCATGGCTCTTAATTTATCAGACCTACTAACCATACAGCATGAAAAGCATCATGCAGCCCTGGTGAAAAGAACTGTTTATAGCAATAGATAGAAACAAATTCAGGGTGTAAATTAATTTTGTGTCTATGGAACAATGAGATAATTTTAGAAGTACAAATAGCAGAACTTCTCTTTACTTTTTACAAATTTCCCAAAATTTCCTGTGTCAAATCAATCTGGAAATATTAACAAAGATTTTGCTGGACATGGGTAAAAATGGTGTTTATATTTATGTGAAGAAAAGGAACAATTTCCCACTGCACTGGACAGGAATTTTCACTCTTTGCTTTTGCCATCTGAAATGTGTCAGCTCTGTACAAGTTCAGCAGCAAACACAGACAAGCAAAAACGGAAGTAAGCTATTTCAGCTAGATTGTTTAAAGATATATCAAGTTCTGAAAAAAACCCTCATAATTACACTGGACTTGAGACCCCTGA